CTCCTTAGACAGGGTAATGTTTCAAGGAAACTAGTAGCACATTGGCCACTTCTCGAGAAACTTTTCCTCGGTTCATGTTTTCTCACACTAAAGACATAATTAACGAGTAATCTTTCCTAATCTTTAATAGTTCACATATGGAAAGACTTTTAATCAAGTGAACATTATATTCGTCTAAAGGTGCTTAAACATAATGCACTACCATATATAATTTCACACATAAAGTTCAAATTAACAAGGAATTATTATAATTCCTAACTTATGCAATCTCTAAAGGCATAATTAAATTCACATAACTAGAAAATATAATGTTATGCTAGTGAACAATTATGTATGAAACTTAGTAAGCTCATATCCAAATAAATTGTACACCATAAGAACAATTTAAAATGAGCTATAAAATTATTATTCAAATAACAACATAAATCCAAAACTTAAAGGATTATAACATTTGAATAATAATTTATAATAACTATATACTTTTCAATTATTGAAAAGTTTTAACTTGTAGGCCCAATACAAAAATGATTCAAGGCGTATAGTACACTTAATGAGAACTAACTTAAAATTGTAAATTCTAATCATATCAAAACCATATGATATGTTGACATTTACAAATTAAATTCTCACAAAACTAAATTGCATAATTTAAACCATAATATTATGCATTTAATTTAATTATATGCATAAATCAAACTAAAAAAAAAATGTGAATATAAAATCAAATATTCATAGTCAATCAAAGTGGGCATCACAATCCGAAAATAATAATGATAACAATGATACGACATATTGATTGCTCAGTTCAACATAGATAATCGATATTACTGTAATAATAATTATGTGACAGTAACAACTGAATAATCAATTTCCTCAATTACGTGATTTAAAATGGAAAAACAATTGCTGAAACCTCAAGCTTTTAAAACATTTACGGAAAAATTTAAAACTTAATAAATGAAAATTTGAAAATCAATAATGTTGAATAAAATATAATAACCAACATTCTTAAATTTATATAAAGGCATACTTAAAAGCGGTTCTTGATTAAAACTTTATGACCTTACTAATTACAATAACAATGACTGGGTAAATGCAAACAATTGCAACAGTCGCCAAACATCTCAATATATCATCCAATCATGCCAATTAGTCACAAAATTAATATAGCAATTCACTTTTACCATAAATAATGTACCAAAATGATAACAATATGCATTAAAACAAATTTCAGTACAAATTAGTATGACAATTTAAAATGGAAAAAGGTTTTCAAAATAATAAATCATGCTCAAATTGATCCATAATTACTCAACTACCATCAATAACAATAAAACAAATTATTATTATTAAAATAATGGTAATAACAAAATGAATAATTAAAACTTTATATAACCCAAACAAGCCCAAAAAATCAAAGCATGCCGAAATATATATATATATATATATATATATATATATATATATATATATATATATAGGGTTGCATTCACATGCAAACCCCCTTAAAATACAAACCTGTGGACAAATATGAGCCATTAGATTAGATTAGATTAATGAATTAGATTTAAGGAGTGAATAGGAAGCCAGGATCGTGATTAATGATTGTAAGGGCATATAAGACATTCAAACAATATCCTAATTACGGTAAATATATGTTTATGATTTATAACCTAAATTAAAGGAGAATAATTATATTAGGATTAAGATGCCTACAACCAAGCAAACCCCCAACAAATGAAGACAAAGAAACGCACAAAACACAATAACCCACATAAAAAAAAAAAAAAAAACAAAGACGAAACGAAGGATGTCCACGTACCTCGGCCGACACTTCCGACCAGTGGTCCTCGCCTCTTCGACGTACCCCGGACCCCACCAACGACCATCGTGGAAGTGAAGGACGAAAGAGAAATCAATGAAGTCTACGCGAATAGCAAACACAGAGCGACTGACGAACGAGGAAAGGGAGAAATGCCAACGTGCGAGTGCAAGTCGGTGAAGGAGACTATTTTAATTAGGTTACTATGAATGCAAAATACCACAAGTACCCCCTAAACATAAAAACACAGAAATCTTATCGTATAAACACCTTGGCCGAACGAAACAATCATGACCATCCAATCTCAAAATCCAACGGCCCCATCTTGTCCACAGGTTTGTATTTTAAGATGTGTTTTTACATGAATGTAATTCTATATATATATATATATATATATATATATATATATATATATAGTGAGGTTCAAGTGAGGCCAGGGTATTAGGTGAGGACTGTGGACAAATTGCATCCATTAGATCAGGCAATCTAACGGCACCCATTGCACAAGGAGAGAAAGTAAAAGCCAGTAAATAAGGCATGTAACGGAAGGAATAATTAATATAGGGGGTAAAACTGTAATTGGATAATAGGTTGTGTAATACTAGAAAAGGAAGGAGCGAAATCAGAGGCCGGGTCTGTACGAGTAGGGTTAAAACGACGAAACTGTAAGGAAGGTGTCACATTGCACAATCACATTGCGAGAGAAACGAAAGCACAGAAGCCGATTAGGTGAAGAAGTGGTTACGACTACAGAAACGACGGCTATGGCGGACGGAACACCTAGAAGAAGTAACCGGCGAGCATCAATTGAGGCACCGAGTAGACTCCGTAAGCAAAAAGTTAAATTTTTTTTGTTTATTGTTTTTTTTTTTTTAGAACGATTGGTTGAGAATTGGATTCATTGTTTATGAAATTGCATGTTTGAAGTCAGTGGTATTGTATGTGTGTGTGTGTGTGTTTTTTTTTTTCTTTTGGATAAGAAAAAGTGACCAAACTTGGGTGTTGAATTGTGGCGACTTGCTTGGACTCTATTCGAGTATCGCCGGTGGGTGAGAGCGGCAAAGTGAGGGTCGAAAAAAAGAGGTGAAGGCTAGGAAGGGATATTGGTTCTGGGTGTATTTTTTTTTTGTGTGTTTTTTATTGCTGTTTAACAGGGGGAGGTTTAGAGTGGTGCGATAAGAGCCAAATAAAAAGGCTGTTAGTATAGAACTGATGTGGAATATATGGAAGAGCTCTGTGCAGTTCTGAGATTGTGAAAAATGCATAATAAATATGAGAAGAGTAGATAGGAAATACACATTGAAAACTCAAAGGAGCAGGAACAGTTTGGAGTTTGCTTTGTTTTACCATATGATTCATTATTACCCCCTAGAAGATTTTCAGTTGATTATCTTTGGAAGCATTAGATGATGGCTTGAACTGTCCCAAGAGGACACACTTTTTCTTGGATTGGCTTCGGCACTATCATACAAAACAAACTCCATCACCATAGAATCCATAATGTGTGTGTTTGATATTTTCTTTTGTGCATTTTAGGTTGTTTATAGTGTGTATTTGTGTACCTTGTTTGTGCATTTTGTTTTTTTGTTTTTTTTTTTGTTTTTTTTTTTTGTTTTTTTTTTTTCACATATAGCAGATTATTGAGGGCATTAATGTGGGGAGGTTTTGAGAGTATATACTTTACTTTTGTAACATTGTGGGTGCATAAACAACTACATAGAATGCATTGAGTAGTAAGAGGGTACGTTGCATGATGGGGTAAATGGTTGTTGTTTCGATTTAAATCCAGCAAATGCATATGTGCATTACTATGTTCTTGATGGATGCATTTGAGTGTGCTTGTAGAGTGCAAGTAGTTGTCTAAATTGGTTATTTTGTAATGGTGCATTTGTGCTTGGAATGCATGTGCATGTATGTATGAACCTTCGGCTGTGGATGATAACCCAGGGACAAAATGTGTTTGGGTTTAGGATCTTAGTGTGCATGTGATGCAGTTGGTTTTGTGCATTTGTAGTAATATTTGCATTTTGGCAACAGTTTGGCGTGTGGGATTGTCTACGATAACCAGGTTTGAACATTGGAATCACTTAACTAACACTATTTTTTTTTATTCAAACAGAAAGACTTGTCGCTATTACCGGCGACTTTTCTAGATGATATGCTTGAAAAAGAGAAGGCGGTGACGGTGCAACTTCTAGAGTCGAAACGTATGCAGATGCGATGAAGGGATACCAAGAATAAGGTCAATTGCGGGGTATTTGCCATGAGACACATAGAGACTTTCCTAGGGGAGTGTGCTGCAAATTGAGAATGTGGGCTCCGCAAATGGGACAAAAATGCACTACACCGTTTGGTTTTGTGGACATGAACTATTTTTATTTGATTGCGGTGGTCTGAAATGATTGTCTTAAATGTGGTGGTTAGTGACACATGATCTTCACAACCGTTTTCCTTATTTTTGAAGTGTATGAATTTGGATAGTGGTAAACACATTGTTGTTATTTGTATGTATTTAACTTTCCAGCTTTAGATGGTATATTCAAGTCTTATGTATTTCACAAATAATTTCTATGTCGTGTGGAACTACTCTGCCATATCTGAGCTCATGTGCATATGGCTCCGTTCAAATTGAGATGGACTTTTCACACTGTGATTATGCATATGGGTGCATTGCGCTGTGATAAGAGCAAAAGGCATACTTTGGGACATACTTTTAAAAATCTTCTTAAGTACTATAATGTGCATTTCAAATAGAAGGAGGGATTATTGTAAAGTAGGGTAAATAACAAATAAATGGTTGCGTTTTTTTTCCGTTTTAGTGTTTGTGCATTATAGTGTTTTTTCTGGGTGTATTTTTACTATACAAATGAGCAGTCTGATGGAGAATTTATTGTTTTATATATAGTGCATTTGTGATTGGGATTTCAATGCAATTGTGTTATCTTAATGTTAAGCATTCTCAGCCAGCACGTTCGTCTCATTCTCAACCAGCACGTTCGTCTCTTTGCGTGGTTAACATCTATAGTTACATTCAAACTCAACACTATGAACTAGGGATGTAAACAAATCGAATCGAGTCAAATATCTTACTATTCAATTTGAATTCGATTATATAGATGAATATTCGCATTCATATTCGTTTAATATTGGAATCCTAAATTTGATTCGTATTCAACTTGACCAGTTTATTCTAATATATTCGATTCGACTCGAATATTCGAATTCGAAATGCCTAACTTAATTTTTTTTTTCACTCCAATAAATTAAAATAAAATGTAATAAAAATAAAAATTTAAATTTAAATAGCTTAAAATTTTATATTAATATACTAATAAAAAATCACATTAGAATAGCAACAAAATGAATTTGAATGACATTATATTCTCTAATATCGTGTCCACCAATTCCAAATGAATTTGTTGCACTGAACCCTTTTTTTTTTTTTTGCCAAAGAATTTACAAAATTATTTGATGTAAATAAAACTAGGTTCCATGGAGAAATAAGAAGTAGAAAAAGTTGACATGGTAAAGCAAAAGCCAATTTGTAGAGGTGTCTCCATAATGAGCGATTTAAATCTAAGAAACCATTGCAAGCACTTCCTCATTATTGTAGAAACTACTCAAGCACAGGCAACAAAATCTATCGATCCTTGTGATTTTACTTTCACTAATGTCAAGAAAATAAATACATTGGAATATTGGATAACTCTTGTGTTTTGGAAGAAAAAGTGCACCAAAGCATGGCTCAATCTGTTCTAGTTCGCAGAAGTGTGAGGAAAAGGAAAATCAAGTACTAGAACGATAGATGCTGCTTCTGTGTGGAGGTCTCATGACTTCCACTCCAACCAATGCAGAAAAGTTTCCCTAGGGTCACAAGTCCAAACTACTACCAGTCAAATATAATGTAAAGTTCACGGTAAATAACTAGGGAATCAAATGAAATCTTAATTGCCATATTTAAGCCAATTACAAGCATGCAGATCACCCAAAATAAAATAAACAATTAAAGGAAAAAAAAAATACAAAGACTAAAAAGCCCCCAACAAAAGTGGCGGCAATAATTAAAAAAATCCTCCCAAAAATAAACCAAAAAACAATAGCAATAGATCACATTAAAATCAAGAGTCAATATTTAACCACAAACCTCATGTAGAAACATGACCTCATTTGATCCTCTATATATATATATATATATATATATATATATATATATATATATATATATTGGCCTAGTTATAGCAAAAATGGGCCAGACCCGACCCAAAACCATATCCATCAACATCTTCATCTTTAAGCCGCCAAAAGAAACCTAATTGTAGAATGCAGAAGACTAACCTTTGCGGCGCCGACGGGAGAAGAATGGAGGAGCGAATTCGGGCGGAGACCAGTGCAACCGGACCGACACCAACTTAGCCGAACGGGGACCAACGCAGCCAGACGGGGAGTCGGCTGGGGAGAGAGTGCGCCGGAAGAGGAGCCGGTCGGAGCACTACCGCTTGCCACCCTCACCAATTGTAACTGATATATATGATTATATTTTACTTAAAAAAAAAAAAAGATTTCATTGAGGCAGAAGAATAACAAACTAACAACTAATAATTTTAAATTGATAGGTTCCCATTACATATTCAATTTTTCCATTACAAATATTTTTATTTTTATTTTTCAATAGATTCTTTCTAAATACTTTTAAAGTAAAATATAATCATATATATCAGTTACAATTGTCACAATTGCAAGCGATGGGCTGCCAGGTACAAACGATAAACTTGCATTTGAGATGATGACAACACAACTTTTTTATGCACTTCTTCGGAACAGATCTATTACAACAAGTGCAGATCAGACACCTTGGGAGATCACCTAATTGTCGCCGCCTAAACACATCGCCGATACCTTTGAACTCCATTTTTGTTCCTGCAACTGGTACTAGCTCTTCTTCTGCCTCTTCTATTAATGATAAATTGAATGAGGATTTCTCCAGGGGTTCAACACCTGAATGCATTATATTTTATCACAATTGTATGTTACAATTTACAATTAATATAAATATAATTTAATACCTTTGGCTATTCATAAATTTTGTAAATTAATTAAATGAAATAATAAACATGGTCACCTGCAGCAATAATAACCAAGAAGAAGACTAAAGCCAACATGGATGACGCTGTTGGGGGATTCATGGTTGTTTATAGAAACTAAGAGGTGAAGATGGTATTATAGTGAGAGTAGGATTTGAGAAATAATGTATTTTTGTAACGGTTTTGTAGTCAATTCATGACTTAATTCTTCAAACCTATTAATATAGTATTATATTAATACTCCATAGTAATCAATATATATTATACTAATTAATTACCATTTATTATTAATTAATTACCATTTATTATTAGGGAAAATTACTATTAATTTATATATTATTATTGTGTTAATTCCATTTTTGGTCATAGATTTATAAGTATCATTCAACTTTTAGTTATTTTTTTAGAACACACCCCTTTGGTCCTAGTATTATTGTGGGATGAGCATTTTTTTTTCATTTTTATCAAAAATTGTTTAAATTCATTTAAATACAAGGGCAATTCGGTCTTCAAATATAAATTTTTCAAAAAAAAAAGTAAAAAATAAAAATATAGTAGGTCAACCCACTTTGTTATTTAAAAAAAAAAAAGGATCAAAATGTCCTTGTATTTGATGTTATGTCAACTATTTTGTTGACGGAGTACCGGTTCTAAAAAAAAAAGCACTAAAAGTGAACTAGCATCTATAAATTTAAAAAAAAAATGGAATTAACTCTTATGTATTAAGTAGTATACACTAATAGTGACAGTTACTACTTTATATTTATATATTTCTATATTGTATAATTATATTACTGTAATACGCTTATTAAGTATTATAACTTGTATTAATATGTTACAGGTTCTATATTCTATTACTATAATACTCTTACAAATTACTATAATTTGTAATTATATTTTATAGGTCAAAAAACATGAATACAATCTTTTTAAGTTTTGAGTGCATTCTCAAGCTTATTAAATACCGCCCATAGTTCTTAATAATAATGAAAATGTCACAATGCTTTTTCCTTGTTTCCCCTATTTTCTAGTTGTTGGTGAATCTAGATCGAAGAGATTCATCACCATTATATATATATATATATATATATATATATATATATATATATATATATATATTTGGAAAGACATGCTCCCGTGTATGTATATAAAATCAAGATCAAGTGAATACAAGTCTTTCTGTATAAAATGTGGGATTGAGGATCATATGAAAACTCATCCCCACATGCATGAGAATTAAGAACTAATTCGGACCTTTGATTTTTTGTTCGTGTATGTTCATCATTTTTTAGATTTGTTGAATTATTTATTTACATATATTGCTATAATCTGTAAGTGTACATAGTCAATCACAGTATAAATTTCTGGAATATTCCAGGGTCGATCCCAGTATAAATTCCTGGAATATTCCAGGGTCGATCCCAGTATAAATTCCTGGAATATTCCAGGGTCAATCCCAGTATAAATTCCTGGAATATTCCAAGGTCGATCCCAGTATAAATTCCTGGAATATTCCAGGGTCAATCCCAGTATAAATTCCTGGAATATTCCAAGGTCGATCCCAGTATAAATTCCTGGAATATTCCAGGGTCGATCCCACAAAGAACACTATTAACTGTTATTTTGGATAATCAATTTGATAATAAGGAAAATGCAAATAAATAGAATTATTATAATTAAAAAGAATATTTATAAAATTAAAGCAAAGAAAATTCCAATTGAGTGAAGACTAGGGATTTGGGGTTCACCTATTAGATAATTAACTAACTCTCTTAAGTGTTAATTCTTATGACTATAATGATGATTGCTTCAAATATATCGTAATACTCCGTCGAGCTACTAGGTTGTATCCAATTAACTGTGCAATATCTCACCAACATTAATTGAACCCATTAAGCAACAATCAAATATCAGCACAAATACCTAAAGCTATTTTTAGTTTAGGTCAATTGTGTTTATCTTACGAGTTTTAAGTTCATAATTCACCTGTCAGTTCTTCTTATGAATCCTAATAATGAGAAATATGCAGTGGCTAGTCACACAATCCACAATCAAAATAAATAAAATAAATATAATCAAGTTCAATTATTAAATTGAAATTGGAAGAACCAAGACATGAAAAATAGTCAATTAATCTAATCTAGGCTAATCTAAATCCCTAATTAAAGTTTTAGCCAATAATCATAATTAAATGCATAAATTGTTCCAGGAATATCATTCTGAAAATTTAAACAAGAAATAAAGTAGGGAAGAAAAATAGTTCAAACTTAAAAGATGATAGCTGTGATTGAAGCCTAAGAGATGATAACTGCGATTGAAGCTAAAAAATTCCTTACAATGGAATCTCAAATTTTCCCGCCGATGATCTACGCACCGAAGACGTTGTTGCCGCTCCCAAGCTTTTATTTTCCCCCTATTCTTTTTCTTTCTGCTTTCGTCTACTGCCGTATGCACCCATAAAAGCAAAAGCCCCAAAACCTTTTAATTTCTTTCTTTTCTTTGTCTGCTGCGCAAAACCCTACAAGAAAAAGCAAAACAAAATTAAGTTAAAATAATAATAATTATAACCTAATGAGACCACTTAACTTAATAATTAAAACACTAATTTAAAATTTAAGATATAAAACTACCAAATAAATTTAATACTATAGATAAAATAAAACTTCTATTTATATTAATGAAAATGCAACATTAGCCTAATATTTATTAAAACTCATCTAAACTAGTCTAAACTAGTAACATATAACTAAATATAATATTTATAATATAATTAACCTAAAACTTAATTTATTTATACAAAATACTCACTAAAATTATTCTAAATAATGCCTAGAAATTAAGCTTATCAATATATTTATGGAATGATGAATTATACTTTTTTGTGCATTTAGAATCATGATATTATTATTTGTGGATGTTATGCATGACTTTAGGAGGTATTTTTTGGTAGGATTATATTGTTGGTATGATTGTGTATTTCCAATTCTATACGTGTGCACTTCATATTCCAACACTCTAGTATAGATCTATGTGCATCTGAGGGCTAAGGTATGCGTGTGTCCACTTCTAATTCACTGTAAACATTTAATCTAACTATGTTGGTTATAGTGTGTACTGAATCGAGCATCGTGTGTTATGTTGTTTTGCTAGTGTGCATGTCGTCATTTATGTCAAGTCATTGTCTGTTGTTCTGTCTTTAGATTCATATATGTGCACGTTTGTGCTACTGTGTGTGCACTTACGTATTGTGTGGGGTCTTAAACGTGTGCAATCGTGTTGGTTTTGTTTTCGCTCAAATTCTGAACTCATTCATTAATGTACAAAAATTTGTATATATAAGCACATGTATGTTAGACATGGCCCACATTCGTCTTTTTTATGTAGAAAAATAGGCTTAATTTTGTGTTTACATGGAAAGAAATAAATTAAAGAAGATAAAAAAGATTATATACACGGATGGACTTATTTTGTTATGTAAAAAAAAAAAGGTTTATTTTGTTTTTGACTTGTCTATTTTGATGAAAGTTTAGAATTTCGTTTGGACAGATTTGTTCCTTACGGATATTATGGGGATTTGGATGGCTAATTAGGCGCATGAATTTAGGGTGTTGACTTTTAATCATAGCCATTGATCTCTTGATTTCTACACTTTAGATTTGTTCTCATCTTCTCATGTTCTCATGTTCCCGTGTGGAAGGGTTCTCATAGGAGAATCACCCTATGTATATCACTTTGAACCTCAGGCCCTGTTAGGTAAAATAGTTAGTTTATCAACTAATTTTGGCTTATTTGACTACTATTAATTGTTTGATTTGGTTTTTATCAACTAATTTTGACTTATTTGACTACTATTAATTGTTTGATTTGGTTAAAAAAATTCAATATACGTGTTTGGTTAATTAGCTTTTTGTAACTCCAAAATGCTAAAATTTAAAAAGTTGTTCAAATCAACATTTTCAATTAGCTTTTTGATTAAAGAAATTATACCAAACAGCTATCAGCTAATAGCTAATTTACCAAACATCTTTTTTCAAAAAGCTAATGTTATCAACTAGTTATACCCAATAATGAACTCAATCAGCTACTAGCTAACAGTTATCAGCTAACAGTCATTTAACAAACAGGGCCTTAATAATTTCTTAACCTTTCGTCAAATAGTTTTCTTTACCATTTGAAACATTAATACTCAGTAATGTTGGCTCTTCCACTCTTCGACCATTGCTATCTTCTGGTCTTCAATTCTTCTACACTTCGTCTAGAACTCTTTGCGGTATGAACTCTTCGTAGTTCCTAGACTTTTCGTATGATGTCTTGGTGAGCAATTCGAATTACAATTCGTACTATACTGAAGAAATTCCTAAGTCTAAAATGAGTAAAATGAATTTGGGGCTAAATTACACTTGTTCCTAACTTAAACGTAGCACACACTAAAAATTTTTCATTAATCGCCAAAACATTACAAGTTACATTTTCATTGGCAAAAATAAACAAACTGCAATTTATTTCTTCACTTCTTTTCTTCTGGCCATCTTCGTCTTTTCTTATGCTCTTCTTAAAATTTCATTTATCTTGTTCCTTGAATCCAAGGTATCATTTTCTATGATCAAATGACGAAAGATCGCATATGTTGTCAAGTTGTTATAGTTGTAGAACGCTTCTAGGACATTTTCACCATTTAGCATTCCACTCTTCCACTAGTGGACGATGCATTCTAAAGTCGTTCTTCCATTAGTAAGAGATATGCCACTCTCTTTGACTCAGTGGAAATGGAATTCCTTGGCAGATTTTACGACTACCTTTCTCACTCATTTGAACAAAGTTGTTTGGTCCTTAGCCTTTTGCATAAAAAAGCATCAATTGATTAAGTTTTGTCTACTGGCTTAAGAGATAACTTGGGAGTGGGAACCTGCTCAACATTCACAAAGAAAAGATTGCCAAACTCATACCAGTTGGTGCTTCCCTATTTTCACTAGAGCTTGGTGAATTTTTTGAGTCAGAAGACATAATAAATCATTCTTTATCACGTTCAGTGCGTTCAAAAGTCTGATGTTGGTGACTTCTCTTGGGAAATGGGTTCACGGACCTATTAGTTTCAACATTTCGTTCATCTTCACTGTTCAGTTCTTC